ATATTAAAAACAGTTCCGTGGCCTTGGCAAAATTACAAAGGCACATTAAAAAAATAAACAAACAAAAAAAACCAAAAAAAAAAAACCCCACAGTGACTTGAAAAACAAAATTCTCAGATCCTAAAAGGGAAAATATGAACTGAAACAATTCCCTCAAATATTGGCTTATGTAAGCCAAGGGGAAAATGAAAACTGTTGTGAAGTGGCTCAGAAGGTGAGCTCTCACATGCAATATTGCTCCCAAAGATACATTATTTGTAAAATTGTTATATTAGGAGTAAAACTGATCTGAAAATAAGATTTAAAAACCAGTCAGATATTATCTGTTTGCCATCATTTTAATACAAGATTTTTTTAACAGTGTAGGGCCATCTAGCCAGATCACAATGCCTTCATGCTGAAGTGCTGGTATTCATTCAACATTTGAGTGCCTTGCCATGTGCTAGAAACTGTGGTAAGCACTGGGGATAAAAATATTTAAAAACCTGAAACAGTTCCTGCTCTAAAGGAGCTTTCTCATGGCCAGGAAAGGAGGGAAGAAGATAAGGGACAAATAAACAGATAAATGAGACCAAAATATGCAAAAAGTAAATACAGTGTAATTTCCAAGGAGGTAGGGAGGGCATTGGCAACTGTGGAGAAAGGAAGGCTGGAATTTATTGTGACCAGAAGAGGGGACAGTATTACTTGGTGGCCACCCTTCTGGTGATAACATTTCTGAGTTTGGTTAGGTTGGTGCTTGAGACTAGGAACTTTCATTTTTGTCTCTGTATCTCCAGTGCCTAGCACAGTGCCTGGTTTGTAGTGGGAATGTAATACATGCTTGTTGGTTGTGCCATCTGTCTTTAAAGCCTCTCAGCAATCCTTGATGGTAGGTACTTGCTTTAAGCAGCAAGGTTATTCTCATTTTACAGAACCTCAGGGTGATTAAGTGACTTGCTGTGGTCACATAGCTAAATTTGCATTGAAGAATTAAGACCCCAAAAGGGGAAGTGGTCGCCTATCAGAGCCAGGGTTTGAATTCAGGTCTCTTGACTTTGTAACCAATGAGTGCTTTTCTCATTACACCATGCTCTTGTCCCGATTTAAGTACAAAGTATGATTAGAGGCTGCACTAGGCAATGGAAAAGAAAACAAATAATCTAAATTACTGCACTAGCATCCCAACTGGTCTCCGTCCAGGCTCCTCTCTCCAATCCACCAGGCTCAGGCTGCCAGAGCTATCTTCCTAAAGCACAGGCATGAGTATGTTGTTTTCAAAAACCTTAAGTGTTTACCCTTTGCCAACAGCAATGGTTCTCAAGGTCTTTTAGTTGCAGCCTGCTATACTGGAAAGAGCACTGGATTGAGGTTTTTTGTTTTGTTTTGTTTTTTTTAATCCTAGATTCAAATTCTAACTCTGCCATTTCATAGCTTTGTGAAGATTGGTTGAAGGAATGGAGGATGTTGAACTTACAGAAAAGACTTCACTGTGATCAACTTAATTTATTCTTCTTGATTCTAGAGGACAGAAGTAGGAACAGTTGGGTGAAATTTGCAAATCGGTAAATTTAGGCTTGATTTAAGGAAAAAACTTCCTAAAAATTAGAGCTATCCAAAAATGAAATGAGCTCCCTGGGAGAAGCAGTGGGTTAGGCCTTTCTTTAAGGTCTTTAAGAAAAGGCTTCTCAGGGATGTTGCTGACACTATTATTCTTCAGATAGGGATTGGGTTAGTTGGCCATGGAAGTCCCTCCCAACTCTGAAAAAAAAAATTCAGTGGCATAATCAGACTTTCATCATCTACCTCACAGGGCTGTTGTGAGCAAAGCACTTTTCAAAACCTTAACAGACTGGAGAAATAATGTTGGTGATTCATAGCCTTAAGAAGTTTAAGTTACTGCTCCTATGGGGGAGAGAGAAGGAAGGTTCCTTTTAACTGCTCACAATTAATGGTGAACAATAATGTCTTGGCCATAGTATAATGAAGGGATGAACTGTGGTGCTTACGGCTTCTTGTTTTCTATGGTACTTTTTTGTTGTTTCTAAAAACAGGTATTTTGAGCTTTTACCGAAAGAGACTGCTTTAGAAAGGAAACTACATTTCCTTTTGCAGATACATTGAACATGTTTCTTTATGTTCACAGGCATATTGGGCACATTTATTAATCCAATGGCTTCTATAGCCACAGCACTGTCAGTATAACCTGGCTTCACAGAATAAAATCACCTCAAAAATTCTGATTTGGGAAGGGCCATACCTAATGACATTCTTACTGGTGGCTCACTGAAGATAGATTTAATCCAATCTCATCCTATGTTACAGCTTGAAAGTACCTTACAACAAAATAATGTTAAAATACACACTGGAAAGGACTTCAGGAATTATCTAATCCAACCCCCCCCCCTTTTTTTAACAGATGTGGAATTAAATCTCAGGGATGTAAAGTATCTTGTCCACATATACTAAGTAGCAGAGTTAGAGCTTGAACCCAATTATTTGACAGTTTAATTCAATAATCATTTAACGACCTACTATATGTAAGGCAATTTCTAGTTTCTGGAGATAAAAAGACAAAATGAAAAAAATCCCTTTTCCTACTGGGGCATCTCTCCCTCTCTCACCCAGAAATAAAAGCTATTTGAAGGAAGGGAGAGATAACTAGTAAGATCAGGAAAGTCTCTCTTGTTTGTTTTTGCATCACATTTCTTTACACCCTGATCTTGACTCGAATCCAGCATCTTTTCCATTACACCATACTTCCTAAAGGAGAGAATATTTTCAAGAATAAGAATGTACATAATCAATCAAGAGAGTCATTAACATTCAGCTGTGAGGGCAAAGAAAGTACATTTAGAAAATGAAGGGATCGGTGAGTTTGGGCCCCACAAGGCGGTGTGGGAGAGGTTGGTGGGGCACAGTGAGCCCAGCCCTCCCTCCTGGCCTCCCCACTGGCCTTTCATGGGCCACTTCACTCTTACTTGTCTAAGTGAACAAACGAAAGTTTGTGGGATTGATCTCCCAGCTCCTCACCATGGGTTTGCTTTAAGTGCATTCTTGAATACACACAATTGTGTGAATTCACACACATACACACACACACACGCACGCACCGCATTCCCTGCGGCTGTGCCAATTCTGCCTGGTACCCCCTTTTCTTGGGAACGGTCCCAATGTTTCCAAAGAGTCTGGAGTGGATGACAATGTGACCCCACTTCCTCTCCTGCAGTTGGCTCTCCTCGTAGCCCGGTTAACTCCTGGATTGCCCACAGCGGGAGTCCCCCTCGGATCCTCGGCCCGGCCCGCTCTCTCTCTGCACCGAGGAAGGCCTGAAGGTGGGTATTGATGCTTAAGGCACAGGCTCAAGTGCAAGTGGAATGTGGCCCTGGGGCCACGTGCCCTCGGCGGGCAGCGGGGGGTGGAGGAGCTGGGGGCCCCCCGAGGCCTCCGGGCTGCGCTCCCTCCTCCACGCAGCCCGTCTGTCCTGCCCGGGGCCGAGGCCGGGCCGGCTCCCCGGTTGGCCCCAGTCTCGATTTCTTGCACCCCAGGGGAAGCACGGGAGCCTCGCGCAGCCCGGACCGGCCTCAGGCCTCGCCGCCTCCCTGACCCCAGCCCCGGCCTCCCCCGTGTCACCGCCCCCGCTCCGGTCCCTCCCGGGGCTGGGCGGGATCGCGGGCGGACGGAGGCCGCCGCCGGCCTGGCCTCGGCCGTCGCTGCCGCCCGGCGGCGGCAGCGCGGGGGCGGCGGGGCGGGCTCCGGAGGCAGGGGGCTCCCGCTCCCCGCCTCGGTCCCTCCTCCCGCGCGCTCGAGCCCCGGCGCCGGCGCCTCCCCCGGAGCATGTGTCAGAGCCGGGGCGGCCGGGAGCCCGCCGAGCCTCCGCCGCCGCCTCCGCCGGGGCCCGGCCCCCGCGCCGCTGCTCCTCCTCCTGCGGCCGCCGCCGCCGCTGAGCCCCGCGGTGAGCAGGCTCCGCCGCCCCGGCCCGGCCCGGCCCCGCCCGGGCGATGAGAAGCTGCTTCTGCGTGAGACGGAGCCGAGACTCGCCGCCGCCGCCGCCGCCTCAGCGGGGAACAGTTAAGTGCGGGCCCGGGGCGCGCGGGTTCCGAGGCCCAGCCGGCAGGCAGGGAGGCGGGGAGGGCCTGGCCGCAGGAGCGGCGGCGGCGGCGGCGGGGGCCTGCGGACAGGGCTCCTGGCGAGGCCTGGCCCGGGGGAGGCGCTTCGTAGCCCGCACTGCCCGGCTCCCGGGGCCGGGGGATGGCACCCCCCGCCCCGGGCTAGGGCCCGCCTGACCCCGGCGGGGAGCCGCGTGCCCCCCCCTTCCAGGCCAGGCCTCCTCATGCCTGTTGGGGCGGGGGTGGGGTGGGGGTGGAGGGGACGTGGTTAATGCCAAGGTGCCCCACAGAACCGTGCTGGGATGCATATCAGGGGGTGGGGGCTGGAGCTGGGGCCGAAAGGACTGCAGCTGAGCTTGGTGTCAGGGATCTGAGAAGACGGGGCGGACTCCAGGCCGTGCACGGGGGAGCCAGGGTCCAAGGAGAGACTGGGCATGCCTTGGGGTTGGTGTTTTTGAGAGGAACATCTGTACAGCGGTCATTTAGTCTGCCCCTGGATGACAGACACACGTGCCTTCTTAGAACAATAACCTTTTTTTTCTCATTAAAGTACAAAACCGCTTCCCTCCTCCACCCTTGAATTTTGCATTTCATTTAGAATAGAGTAAAAGGCTAAGAGCATATATAATGGCCATCTCCCCATAATTCGAGGTTCCGTTCAGATGATTTCTGCCATATAGGCAAGACTGCAGGACAGCTCCCTCTCCGGGGCCTTTGTCTCTGGTGGTTTCTTCTAAAGATAATCTTGCTATATGTTTCTAGACAGCTGGCTGGATCTCATCTCATTTTAACTGTGCTAGAAAATCTTATCAGCAGCACCAGAAACCCGTTAGAAATGTTAAGAGATAAGCTCTGTAGAAATCTACAGTAACTGAAAAACTCAATGTGCTTGGAACGTTAGTTAAAGTATTCTAGTGACATCTTCTCTGAGGGTAACCGGAAATCATGGAGTGTATTTCTTGGTGTTTTGCCAAGCCCCAAATTACTTCACTTTTTATTTCACTTTTCTTCTGTGCAGGGATATCCTCTTTAGCTCTCATGAACTCCAAGATATCCTCTCTAACAATGCTCATTTTGCATCTATCATCTAGCTTTTATTCTTTCTTTCCAACAGTAGTAATTTATTAAATACTGGGTCACTGGGTGGTGCAGTGGATAGAGCACTGGACCTAGAGTCAAGACCTAAATTCAAATGTAGCCTCACATACTAATCGTTTTAGCCTGGACAAGTCATGGAACCCCTATCTGCCTCAGTTTCCTCATCTGTAAATTGAGGTTAATAACAGCACTTATTCTTGTGAGAATAAAATGAGACAATATTTCTACAGTGTTTTGCAAACCCTAAGATATAAAAATGTGAGCTATTATTATTACTGTGTGCAGAAGCACATAGTGTTCAGTGCTAAAAGGAATTGAAAGACAGAAAATGATCCAGGGAAAATCCAGTCCAGTGGAGGGTTTACATCAACCATCATTTAATGGACACCCGCTATGCACTAGACGTCATGCTTGGCAATGGGGATACAAATGCAAAAGTCAGAGAATCCCTGACCTCAAGGATCTTGCTCTCTCTTATACATGAACAAATATAGAATGGGATGATTAACATCTGAGATTTTAAACTCCTTGACAACAGGGACTTGGGGTGTTTTTTCCATTTTATCCCCAGTTCTAGTCTGAGGACTTGACTTTGAAAGGTGATACCTCCAGTGGTATTGAGTGGAAAGATTACTGCATTTGAAGTCAGAAGATCTGAGTTGAAATTCCAGCTCTGCTGGTTATCACCTGTGGGATGATGAACGAGTAGCTTTATGTCTCTGGTCTTAATATTCCTCAACTGAAAATTGAGTGAGTTAGACTAGATAGTTTCTAACATCCTTTCCGTCTCTAAAACCCATGATCCTAAACTATTCAAGATTTGTGAAAGGAAAGAATTTTCAAGAGGAGCAGGGAGGAGGGAGAGAGTTGGGAAGGCTTTGTGGAGGAGGTGGTATTTGTATAGGGCATTGAAGGATGAGTAGGATTTCAACCAGTAGAAGGAGAACATTCCAGGGATAGGGAATGATGTGTACTGAGACAACACTGTTGCTGCTTATCCCCTTGTCTCCAATTTTCTGCTTTTCAACCCGTCTCTTTATGCCACTATTAAAGCAATCTTAATTCAGAAGTCTGATCTTGTCACTTTCAAAAATCTTTCACTTTTCCATGACTAGGGGATAAACTATACACTTCTCTCCCTGGCATTCGAGGTGCTCCTCCCCTTTGGCTTCAAATTCCTTTCCAGCCTTATCTTACATAATTTGGCTGCATGCAGAGGGATTCAGGGAGGACTAGCACCTCCGGCGTACGGGCTTGTTGGCCCCTTTTCAAGACTGCTCATTCATATTTGGCGTCCATCTTTTCACCCAACTCTCACCTCAGGCTCCAAGAAGCTGCAGCATGTGCAGTGGCCATACCCCAGTAAAACCGTCTTGACAGACAGGCTAAACCAGATTGAGAGTAACTGATGGGCCTCATACCCATGGGTGAGTTAGGGAGATGTCTACCCCAAGCATGTGAGGACTTCCCCTGGTGGAATGGGCAGATGAGGGGTTTATTAATATATTTATGTTACTATAAATTATATAATATAATAATAAATTAGGGGTATACCAGTTTGTTCCAATGCCATTAAGGCAGCTGAAGCAGGTGCTGTGGAGCAAGTAGAGCTTGGTCAAGTATCAAAGAGACCAAGGTCATCCACTCTATTCTGTGCCATCATCAGTCTCCCTGACTTTTGTCTTACCCCTAGATTTTGATGACTCTGAAAGAGAGTGAGGCTGATGACTTTGTGCAACTCTGCCTTACTTAAATCCAGTTCACGAGCAAGTCAAGAATCACCTGAAGGACAACAGTATTCCAGCCAATCTGTACAATTTTCTGATCTTTTTCTCCCCCCTCTTATCTCTGTGCTTTTGTATAAAAATTGCATGTGTCCCTCACATCTGGAGCTGATGCCGTCCGCAGCTCCACTTTTCGAAATCCTCCACTTTAGAGACCCAGCTTAGGCGCCACCTCCTCTCTGGTGCCTTACTTGATTCAGAGGCGACATTTACCTCTCCTGCCTCTGACTTTGTATGTGATCATTTGATTCTCACTTGCTATATTGTGTTTTTAGCCTCTCTTGTATTTAACTTCCCCTTCCACTCTGCATTCCAGCCAAATTCCCCCATGTCGGACATGCCATCAATCCATCTCTGGTCTATGAGCTTTCAAAGATAAATTGTTCCCTCAGACCTGGGGTGTTCTCCCTTCTTGCCTTTACCTCTTGGAATTTCCATTGCCTTTAAGTGTAGAACCAGGTCTTTCTGGATTTATATTACAGAAATCACTTTGTATTTACTTTGTGTATATGTTATATTTACTTATCTAGGTATATAAATGTAAATTCCTTGATTGTAGAGACTATCATTTTTGTCTTTGCATCACCCTGCCTGGTACAGTGCCTGACATGTAATAGGCATTTAATAAATACTTGTTGCATTTAACAATTAAATTGAATTCATCTTGATATTCTCAATGTCTTCTGTATATAATGTCTCTAGAGTTGGGGAAATAAGCCAGATGATTTTGGTAGCAGTGTGAAGCATGGACTAGAGAGGGAAGACCAAATAATCTTAATGCAAGTAGTCTGGGCAAGAGAGGATCAGTGGCTTGAATTAGGATGGTAGCTGTGTGAATGGACAGAAGGGGACAGATGTGAGATTGGATCTTAATGGTTGATTAGAGGGATTGAAGGAAGGGTCAAGGACGACTTCAAGATTTTGAATCTAGATGACTGGAAGAATGGTGAATTTTTTTTTCAACAGAAAGGGAAATTTGGAGGAGGAGGTTTAGGTGTGAATTTGGGGTACAACACTTTCAGAAGGATATTTATAAACTAGAAGTTGTCTGGAGGACAGAAAACAGAGTGCTGAGAGGACCTAACACTGTCACAGAAAGGTCAATTTAGTTTAGAGAACAGCACACTTAGGGGTTCCTTTTAGTACTTAAAGGGTTGTGATGTAAAAGAGATTTCCTTTCTCCTTGGCTCCAAAGAACAGAAGAAAGAGCAATGGGTGGAAGCTGTAGAGTTGGCTGGTCATAACAAAAGACTTCCTAATAACTAGAGCTGACTCAAAGTAGAATAGCCTGCTTTGGAGGTGCCCTGCCATCCATCACTTATGCTCTTTCTATGTAGGCTGGTTGCCAATTTATAAGAGATGTCACAAAGATTACTGATTAGATAAGATGTTGTCCTCACTAGTAGCTTCTGTAACTTATCACCGATAGTTTACTATGGCTTTGTCTATGCTTTTTTACTCAAAGGACACTCTTAGACTTGAAGTATATGAATGGAACTCATAAATACTCTCTGGGGTTGAGGACCTAAATATTGGGGATCAGAAAAATTGGAGCAAAAGAGAGGGCATTAATTTGAAGAATATTTTAGGTAATAAGTTTTTTATATTTAATTTCATACTTAATATTTAAGAGGGGGAAAATACCATTAGCACTGGAATTTTTCTTACAGAACTGCTATTCACATTGTGTAAAATACAGGGTGCTTTGAAAGCCAGCTGAGGAAATGGGATTCATGAGGCTGTGTAAGTTTCTGCAGAAACTTTGCAGACAGTTTTAGCCACCTGAAATTGATACTTCAGGAACTAAACTATGGCTTCCTTCTTAAGGGGGGATGGGGGGGAAGCTAACCATGGAGCTGGAACTAAGCATGGGAAATTTTGCAGGTGCGATTATGATGATAAAGATAGTGAATGAGTGACTACGTGGAATGCAGGTGGTCAGAGTGGGTTGTATTTTATTTAAACGGCTATTATTGTGGCTGCAGTTCAGTGAGCAAACTCTCCTTTGCTTTTTGGTTGTTGACAGCCTCTGTGGTGAGAAGTATTTGCAGAAGATTTAGATCCAGAATCTTAGATGTC